GTTCACCATATATATGGCCAGGTGTATTATTTAAACAACCCTTCATAAAAACAACAACGCTCTCACCCCATATTGAATTTACTGACCCAATATATCGTATTAGGTCACTTACACACCATGTAACTAATATTATATTCCTCAGAAATATTGCTATCTGGAAGTACATTACAGTATTTCACCATTACCTAAACTTAGACCACCTGATTATGAAAGGGGTTGGTTGAATATGTGGTCGCCATCAGACAAACATTGCCTCTTCAAGTTGCTTATTGCATATCGCTTTGGCCTCTCGTTAACTTTTCACATTGACAGTCATACCACATCTTCTTTTTTTACATGAACTAAAAGTAATATCAATTACCTAAAGTAAATTCTCCTGTGCTGCAATTTATTTTCGCACCATAAAATTGTCTCCCTTGTTTTGTTGTAGCATCTTTCATTATGGTTAAATTGTCAGAATGTTTAATTGCCTCTTCAAGTTGCTTATTGCATATTGCTTTGGCCTCTCGTGAAATGTTATGAATTGATGCAACTGAGGGCAAAGTGTCTATTTCCTCTACATTAAAAATTTTGCATATATTGCCAATCACATCTGAAATATTTTGCATTGGCACATTTTTCGAAATGCATGCCAATACACATTCCCTGATTTTATGGGAGAATGGATTTCCTCTAGTTTTTTCTTTCACCGATGGTACAGGTTGATCTGGTTCATTCATTTGGTTGATTTTGATGACTTCATTTTGCCAGTAAGTTATTTCATTCTTTAATTCCATGCTGTTTAGCCTTGTCAAATTACACTGGGAGCCCATGCTGATTTTAGGTAATGTTTTTACTGCATCTGTTTGTACGTACTTTGCTGTAGATTTTGGCCTCTTGTTCAAAACTTTAATAAAATCAATTTCTTTCTTCAAATTTGTTATTTTAGTATTTTTTCTTTTCACCTTTTTCTTCTCATTTGCCAATTGTAAGTATAAAACAGAAACTTTCTTTTTCAGGGAGATTAGTTTATGCTGAGAGTCCAAATTTGTGCTGGTTGGTTTGATGTGAAATCTCTTTGGAATTTGGAATAAATGTTTTTCATACGCATCAGCTTCTTCATATCTTCGTGTGGTTTTTAGTTTTCTAAGATTGGCAATCACGGGTTTTATTCTTTCGAATAAACTGCTCAAATGTATCTCATTTTCATTTTTATTCAAGAAAGAGCATACCCATCTATGCAGGATACGCTGACTTCCTGCTCTAAAATGCGTTTTACTTTAGTGAAATAATTTGATCACATGTTTATTTGTTAGAGTTTTCATGTGAAATGGAAGAGGAGGAACGTGATCCATTATGTGCAAGTTTATTACCTTTGTATAAAAAGTGTGCTGTAAGTAAGACACATTTTGTCAATTCTAATCGTAAAATAAACATCCCTTATACATGTTACCCATAACACGTTCTTTTTTTATATGAACTAAAAGTAATATCAAATACATAAAAGATCAATTTCATGAAAGGGACTGTACTCTAAATTCATTTTTTTGTAAATGATCTGACAATTTGTAAAAGTAAAGATTCTAGCAAAACATCATAAGTGTTGGAATATCCAGTACCACTAAGATAAGTTTTGATTATTGAATCAATGTCAAACACGTTAAAGAATTTAAATAATTCATATTCCAAATTAGTTTTTAACCTGAAATAGTGGTAAAATGTATTGAAAATATTGTGCAATAACAAATATCAAAAGCATGTGATATTTATTAAAGCTTTGGGAATAATTTTTCACCTTACAAATAAATTTTAATTCCTTTATATAAATGATTCTGTTCTTATTAGAAGTCATTTCCATTATTAAACATTATATGCTCATTTGCCATATTAGGTTTTCTTCATTGGTAGCTAAAAGTGTGTATTATATCCCGGAGTTTGGAATTTCAAAATTTACCAATATAACATCACAGATTTAGAACAAACTGACTGACTGATAAACATGATAAAAGTTTTCAAACACATAAAAATATTTATAAATACATGTATTTTAATTGACAAAGTTTTAAAATATTTTCATAACCATTATTTAAAATAAAGAGCTGTTGTAATAGTATGAAAATTGCAAGTAGCTATTTCTTCATAAAAAAACTAGAGTACAGTAAAAAGAAATCTAAATCCAAATGTATGTGACGTTATCACAATTATAGTTATACTCTAGCTTTTGTATAGACATTGATTGAAGACAAATAAGATGTAAACAAGAGTCCTGAGATAAACAGAAATTTATTTATTCAATTTGTTCAGACATGCAATTACCGAAAAATTAATTCAAAGTAAAAACCATTGAAAAATGTACTCATTAGTTTGGAATTTATAATTGATTGCATGTCTAATTGCCTGCATTTTGCAAAACATAATTTTTAAAAATGTAATAAATATAAAAGGAACACATAAAATTGCACCACTTTACTTCATTTTCTTGAATTTGATAAGGGAAACAGAATGGGATGAACAATCTGTATCACTATCTTCATCCCGTTCACTTACTAAACTCTGGAAACAAAGTATTCCTCCTTCAAATTCAGTTGGCCATTGAGTCTCGGCATCACTGAAACTTGGTTCATCTGATGCTAAAGGCAATCCATATACAAAACCAGCTGGTGCCTGAGTTTCAGCATCACTAAAGCTTGTTTCCAATAATTTTAGGGATGGTAAGCCATCAACAACAGATGGTAATTGAGTTTCAGTATCACTGAAACTTAATACACCTGCTGCTGAAGGTAGTTCATCCTTAAAATATATGGAAGGCTGAGTTTCAGTATTGCTGAAACGCGCATCAACTAGTTTTGGATATGGTGTACCAAAATAATCATTTGAGCACTGACTTTCACCATTACCAATACTTAGACCACCTGATTCTGAAAGGGGTTGATTAAATATGTGTTCGCCATCAGACAAACATTGGCTATCTAAATCATCATAACTCTTCGAGATATTTGATGACTCAGTTAACCAATGTTGATCTAAATCTAATTCCTCATCAACTGAGAACGACTTGCTTTCAACAAATATTGAAGCAAATGATTCATTATGTTGGTGAGGAACTTCAATGTCCTTGGAATCAGAGGTTATCCAACTTTCACTATCACTAAAATATGATGGTGAAGTAGGAACAGCCTGTCATTGCCATGAAAGTTCAATTGAATCTGAAAACCTGTTGCTTAATGCAAACAGAGAATCAGATGAATCAATTGTACTAGGTGCCGCTATAGTACTTGCTATTCTTCTACAATTACAACAGTCACAATCTCCTTGATATGTACAAACATTAGATAATTCCTCAGAAATATTACTATCTGGAAGTACATTACAGTATTCTCCAAAGAGAAACCTATACATAATGGCATCACGAGCATTTGTATAATAAGGAATAACTTCAGTCCAAAATTGATATCTTGCCATTGTCTGTAAAAACAGATTAAAGTAACTTCTTAAAAGATAATACACCTTAATTCATATTTATAAACAGTTGCAACAAGGAATTAAAAACTATGTGTTTAAAGAGCATTTTTGGTCATCTAGCTGGCACCTAACGTGAAATGAATTAGCAGCCAAAGCTTTTATCAGCAGTCAGATGAAATATTTGTTTGTTGATAGAATGTTATGGATCATCTGTATGTTAAAAAAAAAAATATTTTTTTGATAAAGGGCCATAACTCTGTGTACCCGTTTTGGTGTAAGAATATGGATTGTTCAATTATGTCTAAAATAAAATACAGCAGTATTGAATTGCATGCATGTTTCCCTCATCTAACCATAATTCATTGTATGATTCTACAATCAAAATATTGAAAACAAAAGGTACTTACTTAACAGTGAGGTAAAATATAAATTTTCTGTATCTAATATAAATATATGGTCTTCTAAGGTTGCAGATTCTCTGTAAAATAAATAAAGTATATATACCTATATCTTACCTCCTATAGATTTATAGAGATATGATTGGTTAAAGGACTACACGTGGTGACTATGTATATTTGATATAGGGTGTCCTAAAAAATATACAGTTAGCAACCATACATGGTTAGTTACCATATGGGGTTAGTAAGGAGTTACTTCCCTTTCAAAACATAAATGATGCCACAACCCTTCATTAAAACAACAACGCTCTCACCCCATATTGAATTTATTGACCCAATATATCGTATTAGGTCACTTACACATCATGTAACTAATATTATCAATTAGAATTTATATGAGGCAAATTTAAGTTAGGAACAGAAATTTGGCCAATTATAAAGGGGCATAACTTCAGAACGGTAAACGTTTGTCCACATGTGTCAACTGTTGTGAAGCTCATGTAATTCTCTAAAGTCGGTATATAGTATTAATTGAGAGATATATACTACGCATGCAGGAGCTTCTGAAAGCGAATCCACTGTAACACAAACTTGATCTGTATTTTGTGGTAATGTATTTATTATTTTGTGTGTTAGGATGGATTCTTTGTATGTGGCTCTGATCAAATAAAGCAGTATTGCATTGCATGCTAGTTTCACTTATCTATCCATTGAATAGTCATGATAATCTTACAATTCCAAAAAACTAAAAATTTAAGTACTTACCTCAACAGCAAGATTAAATATAAATTTCCTGTATCTTAATGTAAATAATTAAGGTCTTCTAAACTTGATTCTCTGTAAAATAAATAAAGTATATATATATTTATCAATTAGAATTCAAATTGGTTGCCTCAAGTAAATAAGATGATTAATGATCTGAAAAAGTGCATATTAAAGAACAATAACTCTTTGTTTGAGTCTGGCATCTGCAAACAATTACTAAATGTATGCCATAACTGTGTTTAAGAATTCAAATTTTACTTACTTTAGTTAAAAAATATCTATGAATATGTGCGAGCAAATAAAGCATTATTACATTGCATGCTAGTTTCACTAGTCTTATAATTAAAAAAAGTAAAAGCTTAAAGTACTAAAATTTACAGCGAGAATAAATGTAAATTTCCTGTATCTTAATATGTGGTCTTCTAAACTTGATTCTCTGTAAAACAAATAAAGTATAAATACATTTATCAATTAGAATTCTGGTTTGTTTTCAAAATAAGTTGTATAATTATGTGCTTTTGGAACTACCTGCAATAAGATGTGTTATCTCTATGTGATTTCATTAGCAATTTGTTGCCTACTTTTTTTTTATAAATTTCAGAGGAAATCAAGAAAATGTGACGTAATTATTAATTTTCACCAAAGAATAACTGAAAACAAACAAACCACACCTTCATTAAATAAAAATAATCAGCAGGTCAAGAAAATGATTAATCTAATGAGAATAAGCATAAGGGACATACTTATTAATTTGTGTGTGACTCCAAATAAAAAAACACAGCAGTATCCATTGCATGCTTGTTTCCTTTATCTACCTATAAGTTGTTGTATAGTTCTATAATTCAAATATTGATAACAGAAGGTACTTACCATAAAGGTGATGTCAAATATTACTTCTTGTAAACATTATACATGATGTATATATATGGTCTTTGAAACTTGATTATCTGTAAGAACAAATAAAAGTACATATTCATTTATCAATAAAAGAACTAAGTTTCAATGTCCCACACATTAGGCATATTTGATTTATTCAAGGAAGGGCGACTAGTAAACAAAATAATTTAAGGGGTTCTTTAAAACTTTTTATTAAAATGAATACATTGTAACTAGGAGAATTAAAGGCTTCATAACAATTGTACACATGAATGAGATGGCAAGACCTGTCGGACACACACAGACAGACGGTATGTATATGTCCCCTGCATGGCGTTTCGCAGGGGACAATACGAAGTGTTTGTTTATTTTTGAAAACCCAGAAATTAATTGGACTAAAAATTCAAAAGAGAAGTGCATAATCATGATAATGGCAATACATCAATAATGTTCTGAGAAATGCATTCATTTACTTTAAGCAAATGTGAATGTGTTGTTAAATGTGATGTGTAGCGAAAGAATTCCATTTTGTATGATTAGAATACAAAAATGGAATTAGGAAAAAGAATTATGAGATTTGAAATAAGTATTTTGTCATTCAGTAGTTCTCATTTATTGCAGTATACAGATGTACACTACATGAAGTTGTCAGTGGCAGATCAACAAATGTTATGGGCCGCGCCCACTGACTGCCTCAGAGGGGTCCTGCTCTGGTCATGCTTCAGTGATTCTCTATATAATTAATCATTTTTTACAGGCAAAGGGAGGGCCGGGGCCCTGCCCCTAAATCCTACTCTGGTTGTCATTTGTTGCTTTATACATTTACAGTACATAAGGTTGTAATTTGTTGCAGTATATTAAAAAATTTACAATATGTCATGACTCATGAGGTTGTCATTTGTTGCAATAAACATGTACATCACTACATGTATCTAGTTAATTATATTATGCCTTAGCCTTATATGGAAGATTGGTCATTTAGTTTTAAATAAATCATTAAACAATTAGGACAATTGATCATGGCTTTGAATTGTATTCATGATACTCATTGATGTTGATCCTTGATTGCTGCATAGATATATCTACATGTATGTGACCCTCAGGCAAAGCTTTCAATTAGGTTAATTATATTTGATAATCTGTTTGGTAAAAGAAAGGATTGTAATCAGAGACTGAAAGTGGGATTGTATTGAAATGGTTTATATTAAATCACATGTTAGTAATAAACTCATTATGAATTAAGGGTGACAGCTAGCTAGGTTTTGAATGACTACACCCCCCCCCCCCCCCCCCCTTTTCCCCTTCTTTTGTCAATATCAAAGTTTTTATATAAAATTTGGAAAACAGGATTTCATCATTGAATGATATTCCCCATAAAAACAAGGCAAGGTTTATCATTCTTTTGAAGAAAAAAAAATGACTATAGATCTAGGGGACCAAACTTTCATTCTCAAAATAAACTTTTTTTTCACATACTAACACACAATTTTTTGGTCAAAACTATTACATCCAAGAATAATTGGTCCCTATATATACGAAAAATACAGGTACTTTTAGGTATAATTAATTCTTTATTACAATTTTTGAACTTTTAAAAAAAAACGTCGTACCTTCTTCCGCAAAAACTCTCCTTAAAAAATCGCTTTTTCTCAAATAACATGCTTCAAAAATAATTTTTACCTGTATTTATATTAATTGTATTATATTATGATCTGCATGCAATATCCTTTCAAGTCAAAATAAGTTGTTCAATAAATGATATAGGTATATCCAACCGTCGTGCATCCCGTGCGTAATAAGAGTGATGACCTAAGCAATTTTAAAGTCATTTTTTTCCTGGAGTTATCTACCCTATCTTATGCTCTCTACAAAAGGAGGTCGTTTTCTGAAGTAGCTACCATGTAATGCATAAAGTTTAATTTAGGAAGAGACTGTGAAAAAATGGGGAACGAAGCAACGTCGACAATGATGTTGATATCCCATGACATAAAAATATTGTTCCGATGCGTTGGATAACCTTTCTATCTGCCTTCTGATTAAATAAAAACTTTCCTTTCTTTATTGATAGCTGTATGTGATCACAAGTGTGTAATTTTATAGCCATTGTTTAATGTATATAAGAATACATGAAATGAAAAAAAGATTTTTTTTAATGTGTATAATATCGAAAGAGTCTAACGAGTAAAGAAATTTGCTATACAGGGAAAAAAGAACGATGCGATTATTGTTTACATATTAAAAGCTCAGGTCTGATATCAAAAGTCATAAACACGGTAATCTGTCATAAGCAGACCTGTTCCCAGGTCTGGTCAATAGCAGACTTGTCCACAGGTCTGGTCAGGAGCAGACCTGTCCACAGGTCTGGTCTGGAGCAGACCTGTCTACAGGTCTGGTCTGGGGCAGACCTGTCCTCAGGACTGGTCAAAAGCAGACTTGTCCACAGGTCTGGTCTGGAGCAGACCTGTCAATAGGTCTGCAGCAGTCCTAAAAAGCAGACCGTAGGTCTGGTCTAACAACGACAAAGTTAACTTGCTTGTCTGCTTAAAATTTCCCAAGTTAACTTGAAAAGCAGTCAACAAGTCTGCTCAAAGTTAACTTTTGTACAGGTTAGGACCGCACCCAATGTATTAACACTGGAATGGGAGGGATGATGTCTTAATCATCTGTGTTTGTTTCTTTTTATCGATTTTTTTTTCAAACAGATATGTTGTTCGTTTACTATTTCTTTAGTTTTTGGTTGTTTTCTTTGTGTAAGAAAACATATGACGCTTTAACCGGAATGTTTTTCCTTCATAATAGGCATCGAATGTAAAAAGAGTGAAACAAAGTAAAAATCAAACATATAAGAACAGAAGTAATATATTTCCTACAATTTTTCACAACTTTTCAAATTATGATAATGTCATTGGTTACAAATATATAAGGAAGGCGATTAGTTCTGCAATGCTATTTTATATTTCACTATGATGCCTAGAAGATACATGTAATAAAATTTCCAAATTTTACTAAACACGTTATTAAGCATTATACCGTTTAATACTGTATCTTTTATAATGGTTTTACTTGTATATGTCTCCACATCTATTTACTATACTATCAATGTTTGGTGTCAAACAAGGTCCTTATCGTACTTGTCCTTCAAAGCTTAACATACTGGATTGACATAATCTTTTGTGAGAGACCGTTCGTATGTTAATATCTTTTTGTTTTTGCAATCTGTATGTGTATACTTGTTTAACAATTTTTGTAGAAAACATACAATTTAGATGAATCTTTTAAAATCCCAACAGTATTTTTGCCTTTGAAATTTATAATTTTCTTTTATTTCACTTTCTCTCAAATAGCATATATATAGTATAAATAGTCAATAAACCTCAAAACAACTGTTGCAAGTATGTTCTTGACCCTCCTTATTGTTTAAGTAATATTTAAACTAATTTTTTGCTATTAAGATATTTTTTTACATGTATTTACAACTGTTCTATATATCATAGCTAGACTTGGGAGGATTGAAAACTTAAAATATTGTAATGGAATGTCCATTGAAGAAGATCTGGAGTTGAATTTTAGAAGTAAATTGTTTTGTCTGTTGTTTAATTAGGTTCATGTCTAAATTAATTACGTATATACTTCATATATCCTTTAAAAGAATTCATATAATTAAGCACTGTTGAATGTGACAGCATACATGTATAATTGCTTTCACCGTCTGAGAGTAGTTTTTTTATTCTTCTTATATTCCCTTTTGGATTTTTGTTTGGTCTTCTGTTCGTCATCGTCTGCGATTGTGATAGGAAGAGTTAGGAAGAGACAGACATCGTTCAACCTAGCCCAAACCCTGCCCTAAAGACCGGGGGAGTCCACTTATCATGCTTATCATTTGTAATGAGAGGTAGGGATGAATCGGTAGAATTGGTCTTTATTTTAAGCTTCATGATATTTGATGAGGTCGAGAAAATTAGATATATATAGGACAAGGTTGAAGATTGAATCTGAAACTAATCATATGTCAATTTTTTTTTACAGATGCAATTAAAATCATTGTCGTAAATGCTTGAAATATTTGTCAAACAATTTATTCCCCCACATTGAAATAGCGTAACCATGATAGCCATGTGTAGGCATACTTATTGAAAAAAAAATTTGATCTCTAGGGTATGTTCCTTTTACCAGAGACATATATTTCTTTGATTTTACCATGAAAAGGTCGCCCCAAAATACAAAATCCCGTTTAAATTAATGTTTAATCGGTAATAACTGATTGATTTGGATATCTCCTTTTTTTTCATTATTTTGTTGCCTTGGATTATCTTATATAAATATGTATAGCCTAAACCTAAGAATAAGACCTGAACGATGTTATTTTAAGTATGCTTTCATGTATTAGATCATAAAGATGTACGTAACAAAGAACCCTGGATAGAATGTTAAATAAACACATTTGCGTTTACAAGATTTCAGGAGTTTCGGCTATATATATATATAAGTGTTACCTGTGTAATGATATGCATGATTGGCAACCAGGCAAAATATGATTGCTAAAACATAGTTCATATCCTACAATTTACGGGATTATAAGACATAAACTAGGTTACTAATTGTCCCAAGCAATCAACAAGATTTAGCTATCATAGAGTCAGCAGTATCGTCCAATCAGATAGTGAGATAACATTCAGCCCGCAGACTGTCCATCGTTCAACTCTTAATATCATCTTCGAGGAGACGATAACAAACAACTATGTCAACAAAGAAAAGCAAAATGGCATAAAGAAAAAGCAAATGAGCAAAATTTAAAGATAAGAATTCCAAACATTACCATATCACCATAACACAATGGCGGTGCGTATAAATATATATACCAAGCCACGACAAAATGATATTCTCAAAAATGGACTAAACAGTGTAGGTTAATAATATACAAAGACACTAACAGAAAAAGGCAGGAATTGGTCAAAATATAACCTTCAACCAAATAAGCTTAGTAAAAAAAGATATATGTTTAGTATGTGTTGAAGGAGGATTTATATACTATTTGCGTCATCTTGATAACGTGTTATAGTATTGCTTCATTAGTCTTTGTAAATTATAACTTTTACTGTTTAGTCTAATTTTGGTAATCTATCCCGTTATTAAGTTATTGTGCTATAGTAAAAATTTGTATTCTTGTCTTTCGTTTTGACAAATGTGCTTTGTCTATATGCCTTTTTGGTTTTCTTTGTTTACATATTTGTTTGTTTTATAGTGATTAAGATTATAACACAATGTTGACTGATGTAACCATGATTTTTTTTACATGATTACCTATTATGTCTTTTTGTTTTGATCACGCATCGTCGTCAATATAATGGAATATTATGCGACTGGCATACAAATGAGAGGTTTAGCTAGCTTTAAAACCAGGTTTAATCCACCATTTTCTACATAAGAAAATTCCTGTACCAAGTCAAGAATATGACAGTTGTTATCTATTCGTTTGATGTGTTTGAGCTTTTGATTTTGCCGTTTGCTTAAGGAATTTCCGTTTTGAATTTTCCTCAGAGTTTGGTAGTTTTTTTAATCAACTTTTTGGAATAGTTAATTTTATATAAAAAAAAAATAAGGAGATGTGGTAGGATTACCAATGGACCAACTATTTATCATAGATCAAATGAAGTGGATTTAAGCAATTATATGTCATCATACGGACTTCAACAGTGAAAAGAATCATAGCGTATATAGACGATGTGGTAGGAATGTTAATGATACAACTCTCTATCCAAGTCATAATGTGAAAAAGTAAACCATTATAGGTCAAGGTACGGCCTTCAACACGGCGCCTTGGCCCACACCGAGCAGCAAGATATAAAGGGCCCCAAAATGACTGAAACAATTCAAACAGGAAAACCAATGGTATAACCTATATAAAAGAGAAAAGAGAAACACTTATGAACCACATCAACAAACGACAACCACTGAAGAGGCTCCTGAAGAAGGACAGGTGCATACAAATGCAGCGGGTTTCAACGTTATAACAGGCGCCAATTTTACCCTAACCTGAAACAGTAGTGTAACATTACAACATGGTACGACACACTATAAAATATTAATTGAAATGGCTTAACTCGATCAAAAAGATATATAGACAAAAACAAGTACACTTTTACGATACGAATAAAGATCTATGACACAAAATAAATAATATTAATAAAATAAATTTAAAACAATGTTAAAAAGACAACTCTAACCTTAAACCAAAATGGCGTTAAATAAAACTATGTACACAGGAATTTTTGAATATAATAATTTTGTTGTTAGGAGTACGCAAATATTTTTACATTTTACAAAATAAATAAATTAGTTGTTTATAGTTCGAGTATAGAGGTGAAAAGTTATTGTCATACTAAATATCAAAGGGAGGCGAAAGATACCAGAGAGACTTTCAAACTCATAAATCATGAGCCATGGCTAAAAAAGAAAAAAAGACAAACAGACAAACACTAGTACACAACATACAACATAGAAAACTAAGGACTGAGCAACACCAACCCTACCAAAACATAGGGGTGATCTGTGGTGCTCCGGAAAGATAACAGATCGTGAGGTCGTATAGTGAGCTTTAAAAAACCCGGTCACGACAAATGTGATCAAACTAGATAATGATTGTCTAATTTGTAACAAATTTGATCAGGCAAATATGACAGACATGAACCAATGGCAACAACTTAATCACATGCTCCTGATTTGGGACAGACAGTCACATAAAAAATGAGACAGTGTTGAACATGCTTGTAATCGCTCAACTCTCCCCTGTTTGTGACAGTGGTGTAACAGTACTTAAGAACAAACTGTAAAAATTAATTGCAAATGGCTTTACTCAATAAATC